AGCAGCGTGACCAGCGCCGCCTCGTCTTCAACGAGTAGTATCAAAGGCTTCATAACGGCAGGGATCCCCCGAAACTGCGGCGCCTGCGACGGCACCCCTTCTCCTGAACGCCCGTTCAGGTGCTCACACCTCCGTCGGCGGTGACAGCACCGCGTAGCTGCTGGTGTCGCCTTTGGGACGACCGCCGACGATCTTGTTTCCGGTGACCAGGAAATGGACGACCTCGGCGATGTTCGTCGCATGATCGCCCATGCGTTCCACGTTCTTGGCAATGAAAAGCAGATGGGTGCAGGGCGTGATGTTNNGGATCCTCCATCATGTAGGTGAGGGTTTCACGGAACAGCGAGGTGTACATTTCGTCGATCTCGGCGTCGCCTTCCCAGACGTCGATCGCTTTGTCGGGATCGCGTTCGACGTAGGCATCCAAGACCCGCTTGATGTTGGCCAGCACCAGTTGCGCCATGCGCGGCAAGGTGTGGGCCGGTTCGGTCATGGGAACCTGGTTCAGCGCCATCGACCGCTTGGCGACGTTGGCGGAATAATCGCCGATTCGCTCCAGGTCCGCCGAGATCTTGAGGGCGGCGATCACCTCGCGCAGGTCTTGCGCCATCGGTTGGCGGAGCGCCAGGAGCTGCACGACCTGCTCGTCGATCTCCTGCTCCAAGGCATCGATCTGCGCGTCTTCCTGCACGACCTTGGCCGCCATCTCGCTATTGCGGCGACTGAGCGCTTCCACGGCGTCGGCGAGCTGGCTTTCCGCAAGGCCCCCCATGCGAATGATCGATTGGCTGAGCCGCGTCAGCTCCTTGTCGAAAGATCGAACTGTATGTTCGGCGGAGGTATCTGGCACTGCTATTCCTTTCACGCCCGGCGTCCCCCGACACCGGGACCGAGCGATCAGCCGAAGCGCCCGGTAATGTAGTCCTGCGTACGCTGGTCCTTGGGGTTGGTGAAGATCTGCTCGGTTTCGTCGCTTTCGACCAGAATACCAAGATGGAAGAAAGCGGTCCTCTGACTCACGCGTGCGGCCTGCTGCATCGAGTGAGTCACGATCACGATGGTGAAATTCTGCCGCAGTTCGTCGATCAGTTCCTCGATCTTCGCCGTGGCAATGGGGTCGAGCGCCGAACAGGGCTCGTCCATCAGAATGACTTCAGGGTTCACCGCGATCGCGCGGGCGATACAGAGACGCTGCTGCTGGCCGCCGGAGAGGCC